TGCAGCACTTTCACAGCATCATCTTTTAGGATTTGAAATAGCTCAACTGGAATTCCATCACCTCCACTAGCTTTGTTTGTAGTGATGCTTCCTAAGGCCCACTTGACTTCACATTCCAGGATGTCTGGCTCTAGGTGAGTGATCATACCATCGTGATTATCTGGGTCATGAAGATCTTTTCTTGTATAGTTCTTCTGTGTATTCTTGCCACCTCTTCTTAATATCTTCTGCTTCTGTTAGGTTCATACCATTTCTGTTCTTTATTGAACCCATCTTTTTATGAAATGTTCCTTTGGTATCTTTAATTTTCTTGAAGAGTTCTCTAGTCTTTCCCATTCTATTGTTTTCCTTTATTTCTTTGCACTGATCACTGAGGAAGACTTTCTTATCTCTCCTCACTATTCTTTGGAACTCTGCATTCAAATGGGTATATCTTTCCTATTCTCCTTTGCTTGGAGAAAATTTGGCCTTGGAGTGCAGAATGAAGCAGGGCAAAGGCTAATAGAGTTTTGCCAAGAGAACACACTGGTCATAGTAAACACCCTCTTCCAACACCCAAGAGAAGACTCTACACATGGACATCACCAGACGGTCAACACCGAAATCAGATTGATTATATTCTTTGCAGCCAAAGATGGAGAAGCTCTGTACAGTCAGCAAAAAGAAGACCGGGAGCTGACTGTGGCTCAGATCATGAACTCCTTATTGTGAAATTCAGACTTAAATTGAAGTAGGGAAAAACCACTAGACCATTCAGGTATGACATAAATCAAATCCCTTATGATTATACAGTGGAAGGAAGAAATAGATTTAAGGGACTAGATCTGATAGACAGAGTGCCTGATGAACTATGGACAGAGGTTCATGACATTGTACAGGAGACAGGGATCAAGACTACCCCCAAGAAAAAAAAAATGCAGAAAAGCAAAATGGCTGTCTGAGGAGGCCTTACAAATAGCTGTGAAAAAGAGAAGCAAAAAGCGAAGGAGAAAAGGAAAGATATACTTGTCATTATACTGCCTTTTATGTCAGAAAAACACTCCTGAGTTGGAACACCCTGGGCTTGAATCTTCTTCCTTCCATTATCATAGGTTTTGTACCAAGGAGAATGACCTGAGGAGAAAGCCTAGGTAGACCTGGAGAATCAGTGGCATGACAGCACCATAATTCTGACACTGTTAGGTATTCTATACTGGTGAGAGTATTTTTCTTTGAATTTCAAACGTGCTTTCACATCAGCCCATTACAAGTCCTGTTCAATGACCTCACATACGTTGTGAATACTTGTTTGGTCCACACAGAAAAGAAAAGGCCTCTCTTGAAGTCTAAGTCGCCGGGGGAAAAGATGGGAAACAAGTTTGCCCTACACCAAGATACTTCTTGAGTCCAGTGCTGTTTAAATTCCTCACTGGACAGAAGACAACAACAACAACAACAACCAAAAAACACAGGCTCTGATATAACTAACACCCTCTTGGGCCTGAAACGTAACCGTCAGAGCACAACACAAGCCAGCGATCTGTGAGCGACGCGAGCGGGGAACTCCCACCGCTGGCGCGCGGGGCAGGTGCCTGAGGAGACCGCCTCACACACGCCCCGCTAGAGCTTTCCGCGGGCGCATGCGCGCGCCGCCACGCTCGAGGGGGGCGGGCCCCGACCGCCATCTTGCCGTGCGCGGGACTCGCGCCGCGGGTCCCAAAACAAGCCTGGGCTTGCGGCGGGGTCCTGTCCGGACCGCCTTCCCCTTTCCTCGGTCAGAGCCGGCCAACAGCCCTAGCCGGCCCGCCCAGCCCCAGCTCTCGGCCAATGAGCTGATGCGAGGCTCGCAGCCCGACTCACAGCCGCGGCTTGCCCTGGTGCCCGTCCCGCAAGGCGGTGCGCGGGGGGCACCTAGCCTGCCCCTCCGGCCGCCATGCCCAACGTGCAGCTGCCACCCAAGGAGAGCAACCTCTTCAAACGCATCTTGGTGAGTGGCCGCTGACCGCGCCGCCGGCGGCCCCGCGCCCGGCGCGGCGGGGCCGCCCCGCCCCCTCGGGTTCTTTGTTTTTGTGGAAACCCGCAGGCCCGCCTTGCCGGGCTGCCTCCCCGCTGTCGTGTCTCTCTCTGTGGACAGTCCTTCCAGGAACTTCCCGCCGCAGTCACCCTGGGCCCGGGCGCGGGGAGCGGCCCGCGCGCTGCGGTGCCCGGCGGCGGGCCTCGCCGGCTCCTCGCTCCTGGTCCTCCGCAGTTAGCTTTAGCCGTCACCCCCGCGCCCAGGGGTGCTGGTTCGCTGCTCCGTGTGGAATCTGTTGCACAGCGGGCGCTGACACCCAGGAGAGAGGGAGCGAGTCTGTGGCGGGGCGCGATCTGGTTTATACCGGTTCCCGGGAGCTAAAACCTCGGACGGAGACCGACCCTCCCTTTGACCGAGAGGTTTGTCGTCTTTTGGTGGCCAGTGTTCACCCTCTGAGAAGTTAGTGACTGGAACTGCCATTTTTAAGTTATAAATTCGAGCACAACTCTTGATTGCTTTTTTAAAAAAATGTTATTTTTACTTTAATTGGAGAATGATTGTTGTATAATGTTGTGTTGGTTTCTCTTATATAGCAACGTAAATCAGTCATAATATGTCCCCTCCCTCTTCAACCTCTCCCCCCGCCCAATCCCACCACTCTCGGTGGTCACGGGGAACTCGGATTGCATTTAACTCGCACAGGCCCTGCGGTGAGCTAAGTAATGAAAGCTTCTTGGGGTAGGCTGGCGTTGCACTTGAGGGAGCATTCACTTTGTTTTGTAGCAGAAAGAAACCTGGGAAGCAACGTGGAAAATGCGGTGAAAATGTTAAATCTTAATTTTACATGGTGCTTAGTGTTGAGCTGAAACTCCAATCCTTTGGCCACCTGATGCGAAGAGCTGACTCAATTGAAAAGACCCTGATCCTGGGAAAGATTGAAGGCAGGAGGAGAAGGGGACGACAGAGGATGAGATGGTTGGATGGCATCACAGACTCAATGACCCGGGTTTGGGTAAACTCCGGGAGTTGGTGATGGACAGGGAGGCCTGGCGTGCTGCAGTCCGTGGGGTCGCACACCACTGAGCGACTGAACTGAGCTAGTGTTGAGCAAATAATGGGAATGAGTGTAAAAATCTAATTGTGGCAGAATGCTTCTTTCGACTTTGCCTTTATTTTTTCTTTATTTTACTTTCATTTTTCTTATATCTATATTTTTCACAATGTGCAGTTAGAGAAGTGAATTTTTTGCCCCTTTTGGGTGAGCTGGTCTGTTACTTTTTTTGTTTAAGGAAGCTGAAACATGTCAATGAAAAATCATCTATATAAATTGCTAGTTGGATTTCAGGATATTTGCACTGTACATGAAAGATGACAACGCTTTTTTTTTGTCTATGTGGATATTTTCTAGTTCAAATCATGTCATCAGGAGCATAATGAGAAACAACTAATTTATTATATTCTAGTAAAAAAAAGTTAAAACTGCTGCTGAGTTCACTTTATTCCCCCCGCCCCGTCCCCCCAATTGGGAAATGCTGACCATTTTTAATGAGTATGTAATGTTTTTATAAGCTTACATGACTTCAGGAAGATGCTGCAAAATGAATTATTTTATCATCTCAAATTACAGTAAGTGTGGGTGAAACTTGGCTGGGACAAATTCCATAGTTTTCAGAAGCCTGTCATAGAATTATTTTTTAGTTTTATTGTGGACCAAAGCGCATTGCCACCAACAGAAACTTTTCAGTGTTACTTTTCATTGTATTTAAACATCCAAACATGTTTACCAGGTGGCTTATCAACATGGTTTGCATGACTTGTTCCTACCTGTCTTATTTCCCCAAACTGGCTGTTAGCATTATGTTTTGTTGAATTCTGGAACTACTCCATTGCTCTTTACAGAGGAGACAGTCAAACCCAGGAATAGTAAATGACAGTCTAGGGGTCTCTGTCTAGTTAGTAGCCAAGTTGAAACTACAGTCTGTTTTTTCTACTTAGTATATATTCCTTATTGAACTTAATAAGACTTTCCTTTAACCTGAATGCTTGGATACTGGAGATGACTACCTGGGTTTGAATTGTGGCTCTGACACCAGCTGTGTAAACTCAGTAACTATGCCTCAGTCTCCATCTAAATGGAGATTACATGTATCCCATAGGCTTTCCTTGGGATTTAAGTAAAGAGTAAATGAGAAAAGCACTTGACACATAGAAAATGCTTCCAGGAAGTGTTAACTATTATTATTCTTGTTGTTGGTAGTATGATATTATTACTTCAGATACTTGGTAAAGCAGAAAAGAACATAATATTTCTCTTTTTCTCCTCTTCCCCAGTAGTTCCTTCTGCTTGTTTTTTTCTTCTTGTCTTTGTCATTAACTCCTGTGACTAGATTCAGATTGTTATTTTTTAAAATTTTTGTGTTAAAATATTTTTGGAATGGGTAATATGTTAGCATGATTCAAAATTCAAAGTTTTCCTATCTCTCCCAGAGGTCATGAGTTCAGTTCAGCTCAGTCTCTCAGTCGTGTCCGATTCTTTGCTACCCCATAAATTGAAGCACACCAGGCCTCCCTGTCCATCACCAACACCCGGAGTTTACTCAGACTCATGTCCATCGAGTCGTTGATACCATTCAACCATCTCATCCTCTGTCGTCCCCTTCTCCTCCTGCCTTTAATCTTTCCCAGCATCAGGGTCTTTTCCAGTGAGTCAGCTCTTTGCGTCAGGTGGCCAAAGTATTGGAGTTTCAGCTTCAGCATCAGTCCTTCCAATGAACACCTAGGACTGATCTCCTTTAGGATGGACTGGTTGGATCTCCTTTCAGTCCAAGGGACTCTCAAGAGTCTTCTCCAGCGCCACAGTTCAAAAGCATCAATTCTTCGGCACTCAGCTTTCTTGACAGTCCAACTCTAAACATCCATACATGACCACTGGAAAAACCATAGCCTTGACTAGACTGACCTTTGTTGGCAAAGCAATGTCTCTGCTTTTTAATATGCTATCCAGGTTGGTCATCTTTCCTTCCAAGGAGTAAGCACCTTTTAATTTCATGGCTGCAGTCACCATCTGCAGTGATTTTAGAGCCCCCCAAAATAAAGTCTGACACTGTTTCCATTGTTTCCCCATCTATTTCCCATGAAGTGATGGGACAAGATACCATGATCTTAGTTTTCTGAATGTTGAGCTTTAAGCCAACTTTTTCACTCTCCTCTTTCACTTTCATCAAGAGGCTCTTTAGTAGGTCATGGTGGAGAGGTCTGACAGAATGTGGTCCACTGGAGAAGGGAATGGCAAACCACTTCAGTATTCTTGCCTTGAGAACCCCATGAACAGAGGCCATCAATGAGCCTCAAAGACTTTTTTTCTATAAATACTTTTCCCCTCCAGATGTCACCCCTGTTGGCCAGAATTAATCTTTCTTCTCCTTTGGGGGTCCTGTTCTGTTTTAAACTTAGAAGATTGTACACATAGACTGTGTTGAGCAGTGCTTATTTGTCTAGAATCTGAGGATGCAGCCATGTTTAAAACAGTCAGGATCCCTGTTCTCATGGAGCCTACCATATGATGGGAAAGACAGACACTAAGTAAAAACAAATAAGTAATAATGTTAGGAAATGATAGCACTGTGTAGAAAATAGAGCAGTATCATAGAGTGTGTGTGTGTGTGTGGAGGGGTACAGTAAGAGGCTGGCAGTATTAGAGGGTCAGGTAGATGATGTGGAAAACTTGATCATAAGGAACCAGCCATGGGAAGATCTGGGGAAGAACAATGTTTCAGAGGGGCAGAGGCCTTGAGATGGGGGTGAGCTTGGCATGCTGAGTACTAGGAAAAATAACCTATAACCACAGGTGAGAGGTTGAGTTAAAGATGCAGTGTTCTCGTAGTTAATGACTGCGGAGGCCAGGCATGGTTATTTAGCCTGGCTGGTGGCATTTAGGAATAAAGAGGTTGCTTACATTTGTGTTAGAATAATTGATGGAAAGACCATGGTCTTTGAAGTCAACCCAGAGTTTGCAACTAAGCTGAGCCACTATTAAACAAATTTAATGGACTTTTAAGTTTCTGCATCTGTGAATTGGAGATGATGACACCTACCTTAAGGAATTGTTGTGAGTCATAACAAGTTTTGTACAGACACTTATTAGTGGCCCAATAAATAGCAGTATTTTTTTGTGTATATGCTTTGGTTCCATTCTTGAAGTAGCAAAGGCTTTTAATACAGTTTCTAGTATTTTTCTTTGTGATCACATATGTTTTTGCTTTTGGATTTTGAATAAAAGAAAGCTATAACAGTGTATTGATTGACAATAAGGTTTTTTTAAAAAAGTATCTATTTTCAAATATTTATTTATTTGTCTGCACCAGGTTTTAGTTGCAGCATGTGGGCTCTAGTTCCCTGATCAGGGATTGAAGCTGGGCTCCTGCTTTGGGAGTCTTAGCCACTGGACCACCAGGGAAGTCCCAGTTTTTTCTTTATTTTCTGTAAAAGTGAAAATACTCAGATACCAGTAAGTAACAGAGGTACACTTCATGTTATAAGTTTTTTAAATTGGTATAAAACCTTTCCATCACATGTTTTAAAGCTAACTTTGAATCTTGAATTTAGAATTGGTACAATACAATGAAGTTATTCCATGTGTATTCATTTTGTATAATAATTTTTCTTTTTCAGAAATGTTACGAACAGAAGCAATACAAAAATGGCCTCAAATTTTGCAAGATGATTCTTTCAAATCCGAAATTTGCTGAACATGGAGGTATCACCTATGAGATTCCTTTGAGAAAATCTAATTCCACAATCAGATGGAAAGGATTTCTAACAGTGAAAGAAGAATACTACCCACTTTCCATGGCCTTGTAGCTCTCTTAGAGTCCACACATGTTTAACTTTTAAAATTATGCCTCATATCATTCTTATTCTAGATTATTTCCTTCAATATCATGCTTAGATATATTTATAGACTTTACTTTTATTAATAAGATGAGAAATAGTCGATCTGTTGGTAAATAAATGGCATATATACATCTACTTTTATAGACCTGATTTCATTTGTTGCTTTGAGTAGGACTTATCCTTTGATTTCTTATGTATAAAATTAGAACAGTATTTGCAGCACCGAAGTAGAATGAAGATACAGTCAAATGGATTTTATTTTTTGGTAGATGTATTGTTAACATATCTGCTGATCTTCATATGTAAATAGGATACTACTGATTTACATTTGGATTATCTTGATTCTTCTAGCACTGATATCAGTTAAGTCTGTATTTTCTTGTCTAATCCTTTTTCGCTGGTGACCAGTGCTTGGTAAAAGGATGAGTCAGGTTAGACATGTAAGTTATGGTCCTATAGCAGAGGACAGCCAACTGGGTCTCTGAATATTAGACTTGAGTAATTCTCGAGACCATCTTATTAGGAAAATAGCCTGGCCCTACTCAGTTTCTAATAATGTTTAAAGCATTCTTTGAAGGAAGTGGAAAGAAGTCTTTGTTTCATAGCATTTTAGAAATTAAAGCTTATTTTCAAGCTATTTAGCAATAGAGTAGTGTTAGTTGCTCAGTCGTGTCCGACCCTTTGTGAGCCTGTGGACTAGAGCCCACCAGGATCCTCTGTCCATGGGATTCTCCAGGCCTTTATCCAAATGGGAGCTTCTGGGCAAGTTCATTATGTCAAAATAGATAAAATAAGATGTTTGATCATAGGAGCCTGAACTATTGGATCACCATATTCTGAAAACCAGAGTCCAACCATTTTTCTTTTGTAATTCGGTCTTGTGGGTTATTGAGAGAATTATTTCATTCTATATAATCTTCCTCTAACTAGCTTAAACATATTCTTGGGTTAGTTACCACTCGCACAGTCCAGTGTTGTGCTTTTCAAGTGTAAACTGATCTTAATTAGCCTCAGTGGACTTTGTTGGAATAAACTTGCAACCAAAAATGAAGTCTGGTCCAGTATGAAGTAGGGTGACTTTTAAATTGTGTATATCACTTTCAGATAGATTGAATGATTTTGTGGAGTATAGATTAGGTGGTTAGATTTTTAGTAGAATTGACCTCAGGTGAAAGGTGAGGTCAGCTGGAGTAGATTTAACTCAACGGGACTCAGGACCCTGCTGTGTTACCTTTTTTAGCAGAATAATCTTAACTTCCTTTATAGAGTCTTCAGAAAGGCAGAAAGCTTTTTACCAACTCAGTTCCAGCCTAAGGGATTTCAGAAAAGGATAGGGCTAAACTTTAAGCAGATACATAAATATATTTTTACTTTATTTGGAGAGAAGTTCTTCTAACTATAGGATTTAAAGGATGGATATTGTATGCATTGGTAGATCTCATATTAAAATAGTGCTAAGAGAATAATTTGAGTCTTTCATGGGTAAATAGAAGTTGAAATGTTTTCCAGAGACTTTGGCTATGAAAGGATTAACATTGAACTGTTTAGGAAAAAAAGAAGAAGCATATGAATTTGTTCGTAAAGGACTTCGTAACGATGTGAAGAGTCATGTCTGTATCCTTTTTTAGTAGTTCAGTAGTTTTAATTTAATTCATTGTTTCCGTTTACTAGTTTTTCTAACTCAAAAAACTTCTATGGAAAAATTTAAAGCTGTAAGAAAGAGTGAGTTTAATGAACTCTATGTACCTATTGTCCAGCTTCAATATTATCAACATTTTTAATATTAATTTCATCTGTTCCGTACCCTTTGTTTTTTTTTTATTGGAAGATTTTAAAAAGAATCCCTATGCACTGTGTATTTACTGCAGTTGTACTTAGTGTAAGAGAAAAGTAATTTTGATAATTGTGTGTATGTGCTCACTCACTCAATCGTGTCCGGCTCTTTGTGACCCCATGGACTGTAGCCCGCCAGGCTCCTCTGTCCGTGGGGATTTTCCAGGCAAGGATACTGGAGTGGGTCGCCATTTTCTTCTCCAGGGGATCTTCCCGAGCCAGGGATCAAACCCACATCTCCTGCGTCTCCTAAATTGGCAGGCGGCTTCTTTAATGCTACGCCACTTGGGAAGCCAACCTTGATAATTATATGTGACTTAAAACCCATTGTTTTTTTCATTTACATCCATAAACAGAGTGATACTTTCCCCATTCCGAATGATTTACCTTATAGTAAACTTTGTGTTCCTTAAAAGTTCCTTGAACTTTCCTTTAGAAACCTTAGAAGAACATTCAGAAGGAACTTATAAGATAGATTTTATTTAGTATAACTGTCATGTTGATTCTTCAACTTGGTTTCTGCTGCACAAGGACTTGGCTGTTACTTCACTGCATACTTATCATATTTTTCTTTGGCTAGTACCCCAGTGTGTAAGAAAACAAAAATATTCTTTAGGGATGGATCATTGAAACTATTTTAATTTGTGTTTTGCTTATATGTATACTTATTCAGAATCGCATATTGCCATTTTATGTTAATGTTTTGCATTTAAATCATCTAGCTCTAGACCAGTATTGAACATCAGTAGTCTTAATGGTGTTTTTTACATATTTAGCTTAGGGTTCTCTCAGAATACTAAATACTTACTTCATTATCTCAGTGCTTACCCCAAAGTGAAGAGAAAGGGCATGTAAGATAGTTTTTGTTGCTCCAAGATATGCTAAGACTGTAATTTACATTAAATAAAAACTTACTTTTTGTAGTCTTTAATCACTAGTCAATTAAAAACATGTTTTGTAGTTGATTGAATGGATATATACTTGTTTTAAAAGATAATTGCAATTTTTGTATATATTCTGTTTTAATACACAGTGTTTGATATTAAGAGCATGTTGAGATGCTGGCCTAGGAAAGTGAGGGACTGGGGGTCGGGAATGTGAATTCCTACCAGTAATTTCTAAGGTTACTTAAAAATATTCTATGAAAAATTTCAGACATGTCCGGAAATAGAATAGAATAAAAATACTATATGAAATGCTATATGCCCGTCACCTGGCTTCAGTAATTTAACAACTGTCAATCAAGGCTGATCTGGTTTCATCTTTTATCACCTCACTATCCCCCTCTTACTTAGGTCATTCTAAGGTAAATCCCAAACAAAATACCATTTTGTTAAGGTAAGCTTTCTGTTAAATAGGTAGCATAGTATATTCTAGTATCTGTGAATGTCTGTTTCCTTAACTTAATAGGTTGGCATGTATATGGACTCTTGCAGCGTTCTGATAAGAGATATGATGAAGCTATTAAATGTTACAGAAATGCCCTCAAGTTAGATAAAGATAATCTGCAAATTTTGAGGGATCTTTCTCTGTTGCAGATCCAAATGAGAGACCTTGAGGGTTATCGAGTAAGTATTTTAGTCTTAAGTGTATATGTTTTTGCAATAGCTATAACTTAAAAGCATGTGAATTCAGAATGAGGTAAACGTAACATCATGTAGACTTGATCGTCAATTTCATTCTATAGTAGAAGGGGAAAGTCACTTGGGATCTCCCCTCCAGTGATTGTTGCAGAATTGCATAAATTGATCCAAAAGGGTAACTAGTTTATTCATTTAATGCTTTTTATTATAAAAGCTAGAATATCTCCTATGTGCTAATATTGTACCATATTCTTTGTGGGCTTGATATTTACAAATTTGGCAAACAGAGCTTTTATTTATTTATTTTTTTCCATTTATTTTTATTAGTCGGAGGCTAATTACTTTACATCATTACAGTAGTTTTTGTCATACATTGAAATGAATTAGCCATGGATTTACATGTATTCCCCATCCCAGTCCCCCCTCCCACCTCCCTCTCCACCCGATCCCTCTGGGTCCTCCCAGTGCACCAGGCCCGAGCACTTGTCTCATGCACCCAACCTGGGCTGGTGATCTGTTTCACCCTAGATAATATACATGTTTCAATGCTGTTCTCTTGAAACATCCCACCCTCGCCTTCTCCCAGAGTCCACAAGTCTGTTCTATACATCTGAAACAGAGCTTTTATAATAGAAACCTAAATGTAGAGATTGACTAGCTTGCTTTATTAGGGTTAGAAAATACAAGATATTGTGAGGAGGATTGCCATAAATGTAGTCCCAGACCATTACTGTCAACTCTACTGGGCATCTACAGGTGCTTACCCCACTTAGTATCCTAAATTCAATATGTTCAAAATGGAATCCCCCCCTCTCGTGTGAAGGAGGCTGCCGAGACGTAATGGTCCTCTTTAGATAAGTCTTTGGTTAGCTTTTCCTTTCTGCCTTTCTGCTGCTGTGGAAGTCCCTCCACCCTGTGCTCAGGCTTCTGCAGAAGTTTCTAGGGCTCTGCTGAGCTTAGTCATGGCACCAGTTAATTCATCAAGGTTGTGTGGCTTTTCTGTTTGGTTAGGACTTAGCAGCCTAAGTTTGGTCAGAGTTCAAATCACTTATCTTTAGAAATAAAGAAATTAACAATATTGGCAGGAGACTGGTTGCTAGGAGGGGTTGTGAAATAAATAAATGATAAAAGAGCTGGTGGTTAGAGGTGAAGGACTCAAGGTCCTGGTGGTATCCAGGAACAAGGGTGGGAAGGTCCCAAGTGAGACTGTTGATAGCATAGGAGCTGTAGCCAGGGTGAGATACCTGAATTTATGATTTCTGGGTGGCGGTAAGGTCTAGGGTGTGGTGGTGGGAGTAGGTCCCTGCTACAGGGTGGAGATCATTAAAGAGAAGTAAATCTTGGCTCCAAGAAGATAGGTTATTGGTTGGTTAGTGTTAGATTTGCCAAGGATAGTGGCAGGATTTGACAGAGAGATGAAAACTGAGTCAGACTTTAATGAAGTAGGGGGGTGACAGAGAAGTAACAGTGGAAATAAGGGGTGAGATTGATAAGAGCTTAATGCCATATTCCTAGAAGGAACAGACACTTAGATGTGAATATTGTCGCAATCGTTTTGTCAAAGATATCTTTTTTAAAGAAAGATCTAATCATAGTTCTCCTCATGGCCTATAGCGTAGATGGCCAGCACGCATTCCAATGGCAGTCACAGAAGCTAAACATTACATTTTTAAAACTCATTGCAGCTAAGGGTTTTCATGAGACCCTGTTCCTTTAGGCCGTACACTTGCTTAAAACCTGGAGACACATCTGAACTACGAGGAAGCTGGAGTTGTGCAGGGAGGTTAGGTTTTGTGCTGGTCTTGATTCTTCTTGGCAACCAGGTGGAATTTCTGGTGTTTTCTTCCTAATGTCATAGATACTGAGCTGTCTTAAGAGTAGCAGCGGTGGTGTTTCTGCTAGAAAAGTCCAGTCAGGTGTTTGAGTGTTTTCTCTGGCTCTGTCCAGCCTGTCTGTGGGCCTGTTACAACAATGTAAGTAGGTCTTAATTTTATATAATTTAATATGCAGGAAACTCTCCTTTCATTAAAAGCTATCTTATTCTCTCTTTTAAGGTGTTTAGTTACCAGAAGACATTCTTGTTGTATAAAGGTAACTTTATAAGGCAGCCTGATAGCATTGACTCCACAGACAGCTTTTCAGTGACAGTCTTTCAGTGAGCGTTACGGAGTATTCCAGAGTTTAAGTTTAGTTGAGGAACATAGATAGTATTGGGTGGGCCCAGAAGTTCATTCCAGGTTTTCTGTACCATCTTCCGGAAAATCCTAGATGAATTTTTTGTCCAACTCAGTATTTTTGTTTCATTCTGGAGTTCAGTGATACTTGTTCATTCAGTTCATTAGAAAGGAATTAAAGGTATGTTGTCTTAAAACTGATGAATTATATTTTAGAGAAACTTTAAAAAGTGAAAAGAATTTAAAAGATTTGTTTTTTTTTTTAAGGAGACAAGATATCAGCTTCTTCAATTGCGCCCGACTCAGCGTGCTTCCTGGATTGGCTATGCTATTGCATACCATCTACTGAAAGATTATGATATGGCACTAAAACTACTGGAAGAATTTAGACAAACTCAGCAAGTAAGAAGTTCATTTTAACATGTCCTTCCTCTACAAACTAAAATAGTTGACTTCTATATTGCCTCCACCCCTCAAGCATGAATTAGTTTTTCAGATCTTTGGAAAAATTGAAAATTTTTTGAAATAATTGGAAAAAGTTATAATGTAGAATTCTTTTATTTTGGCCATGCCATGCATCGTGCGGGGTCTTAGTTCCCTGACCAGGGATTGAACCTATGCCTTTTGTAGTGGAAGTGCAGAGTCCAAACAACTGGACTTCTAGGAATTCCCAATATAAAAATGTTTTTATGCTATAATTTCAATAATATTCAAATGAATAAATAAAAGAATACATGAAACTGAAAATAGTTTTGTGACTGTGGGAATTTCTTTAATATATATTGCTTTATATTTTATATAAATGTATTAAATATATTTTACTGTACATAGTAAAAAATAGAAAAATGAAAAAATATGAAACAGTAAAATAGTAAAAATGCAAAAATATAGTGTGTGTCCCAAGAGAAATTAAAAAGGTGTTAGCATTTTGCAGTAATTGCTCCAGATTTAATTATTTTTTAAAGAACTGAAATGTTCTGGAAAAACCAGTGTCCTCCCATGTCCCTCCCTAGAGGTAACCACTATTGTGAAATTGGTATAGATCATTTCTAGTCATGTTTACCTTATGTATTAAGTCCATGAAAGTTTGCAGACTGTTATTTTATATATTTAAAATTTTACAAGAATGATACTCAGTTTTTAAAATCAGACATTCCTAGAGGTACATCTGTATTGATACATGTAGGGCTAGTTTAGCCATTTTAAACTGCTGTTTGGTGTTCCATAGCTAAGGTTAATCTACACTGTTTCATGTCTATTAAAAATTAGTGCTATGGTGAATATTCTTTTCTGCTGTTTCATTAGCCATATTTGTGAGTTCCTTTTCAATTTATACCTAAAACTGGAACTGCAAAGTTGCAGATCTGTGTCTTCAGTTTTACCCATTTGAAGTACTTGTACTCATTTATATGCCCACTAGCAAGGTTTGGTGGTTATTATTTGCCTATGTCCTTACTGGACATACTTACTGTTAGCTGTAGTAGTCTTCTGGACTAATAGTTTTTCTAGTTTTCTACATGTGAAGAAGTGTATCTCATTATTCTTTTAATTTGCATTTCTTTATTAGTGAAGGATACTGGGATAAGAGATACTAAGCTGTACTCTTCTTCTGATGTCTATGTCTGGCCTCAGGGCATGAGTTGGGAAGTGTTTTGTGCAGGATGGTGTTAGTTCTTAGGTGAACATCTGGTAATACTCACCTGTTATGGCATCTGGTCCTGGGCTTTCCTTTATGGAAAGATTATTGGTAATTATGATTTACTTTTTATTTGATGTTGGTCTGTTAAGATTTTCTATTCCTTCTTGAGTCAGTTTCAGCAGCTTATGCTTTTTGAGAGTCAGTTCATTTCATCTAGGTGATCTAATTTGTTGGCATACCACTTTGCCTAATAGTCCCTTATAATCCTTTTTATTTTTGTAGAGTTTGTGGTAACAGTCTTCCTTTTATTCTCAATTTTAGTAGCCTTCTTTCTTTCTTGGTCATTCCTGCTAGAGACTTGTCGATTTGTTGATCTTGTAGTATTGTTAAATTTCTCTGTGTTGGTGTTTGCCTTAGCACTCAGCCAGGCAGTTTACCTATCACTTCACGGCAAATAGATGGGGAAACAGTGGAAGCAGTGACAGACTTTATTATTTTGGGCTCCAGAATCACTGCACATGTGACTGCAGCCATGAAATTAAGACACTTGCTCCTTGCAAGAAAAGTTATGACCAACCTAGACAGCATATTAAAAAGCAGAGACATTACTCTGCTAATAAAAGTCCATCTAGTCAAAGCTACGGTTTTCCCAGTAGTCATGTATGGATGTGAGAGTTGGACTACAAAGAAAGCTGAACCTGAAGAATTGATGCCTTTGAACTGTGGTGTTGGAGAAGACTCTTGAGAGTCCCTTGAACTGCAAGGAGATCCAGCTAGTCCATCCTAAAGGAAATCAGTCCTGAATATTCATTGGAAGGACTGATGCTGAAGCTGAAACTCCAATACTTTGGCCAACAGATGCGAAGAGCGGACTCATTTGAAAAGACCCTGATGCTGGAAAAGATTAAGGGCAGGAGGAGAAGGGGATGACAGAGGATGAGATAGTTGGATGGCATCACCGACTCAGTGGACATGAGTTTGGGTGGACTCTGGGAGTTGGTGATGGACAGGGAGGCCTGGCGTGCTGCGGTTCATGTAGTCGCAAAGAGTCGGACACGACTGAGCGACTGAACTGAACTGAACTGAAGGCAATTAACAACTCTGCCTTAACTTTCACCTCTTACTTGTGCAGTCTCAAGGTCAGCAGGAGGTGAGAGCTTAGGACTTTCTCAGGTAATTCTTGAACCTGTGTATAGCTCTATATGTGTGTGACTTCACTGCCCGCTATGGACGTCACATTTCCCAGCTTTTCCTTTAAGGCTTTTGTGTAGTCTGTTGTCTACCCTGACTGTTACCCATCTTTCAGGCGCTATAAAGGTAAAACACATGCCTCTAATCGCTTTTCTTTTTTCTTTCTTTGTGGCTGAACTGAATCTTCATTGCTGTGCCCAGGCGTTCTCTAGTTGTGGTGAAAGGGGGTGACTCTAGTTGTGGTGTGTGGGATTCTCGTTGCAGTGGCTTCTCTTGTGGAGGTTTAGGGCACGTGGGCTCAGGAGTTGTAGTTGACGGGCTTAGTTTGCTCTGCGGCTTGTGGAATCTCCCGAACCAAGGGTCAAACCTGTGTCCCCTGTATTGGCAGAGGGGTTCTTAACCACTGGGCCACCAGGGAAGTCCCCTTGTGAACAGTTTTGATGAGCACTTAGGCTCTCCCCTTCCCCTGAGGCTTTTTTTGCTCTGGGCACACTCTGAGTTAGGCTTGTACTTGGAGGCTTGCAGTGAACCAGGAGATAGGTCAGTTCACTACAGTTCCTGGGAAGGAAGCTTTGAAAGAGCCCCAGCTTCATTCTTTCTCACTGGTGACTGCCAAGCTGCTGTGGGAATACAAGCTTGTTTCTCAAGGCTACTGTGTAGCTGGAGAGCTTTGGATGGGACTAGTGAGATGAGTGAAGTCGCTCAGTCATGCCTGACTCTTTGCGACCCCATGGACTATAGCCTACCAGGTTCCTCCATCCTTGGGATTTTCCAGGCAAGAATATTGGAGTGGCTTGCTGTTTCCTTCTCCAGGGGATCTTCCTGACCCAGGGATTGAACCCGGGTCGCCTGCATTGTAGTCAGACGCTTTACCATCTGAGCCACTAGGGATAGGACTAGGGGAAGTTAAAATGACATAAAACTCACTGGTCGTCTTAAGATCTAGCTTTTTTTCTTCAGTAATTGCTCCCCAGATAGCTGTAAGTGATGGTCATTCAGCTGTGTCCGATTGTGACACCATGGACTGTACCCCACAAAGCTTCTCTGTCCATGAAATTTTCTAGACAAGAATACTGAAATGGGAAAAAAAAAAATACTGAAATGGGTTGCCATTCCCTTCTCCAGGGGATCTTCTGACCTAGGGATCGACCTGGGTGTCCTGTGTTGCAAGCAGTGTCTTTGCCATGTGAGCCATCAGGGAAACCTTTGGTTCATTTTCAGAGTTCTGAATAACGTGATTCTGACAGTTTTTACCTGTTCCTTTCTCTTATGGAGAGGTGACTTTTTAGAGTTCTTTGCCATTTCTCCTGACATCATCCTCTGTATTTTCTTAATGAAAACTTTCTCTTTTGACACGTTACCCAAAACATGATGGGTTTGATAGCCAAAGTAGTTTTACCTGCTAGAGTGGTGGATGTTTTTTCTCTTCTCATTTACCCAGTAATTCTCATTACAGAGTTTTCATGGTAACTGTCCTCTATTCTGACCTCTCTGTCCCTGCCTTGTGGTCCAGAGAAGACATGAAAGAACAGAGCTCTCCATATGTTATAACATTAGGGAATATACTTACACCTCTTTTGGAAACTTCAAATAAAGACAATCATAATGTAGTGTTTTGTCTTTAGATTCTTTTATTTAGAATAGTTTTGAGATTCACCTGTGTTAGAGCATGTAGTATTAGTGGTTAATTCCTTTTTAGTGCTATATACTATTTCATTTTGGAGATATACCACACTTTATCTATTCAACAACTGATCGACATATATGTAGTTTTTACTTTTAGCTATGCATAATGCTGCTGTGAACGTTTGTGTGTAAGTTTGTGTGTGGACATATATATTTTTATTTCTTTTGGGTAGATATTTAGGAATGAAATTACTTGGTTATATGGTAAGTATATATTTATCTTTTTCATAAACTGTTGAGTTGTTCTTCTAAGTGACTGGACCATTTTACATTCCTACTAGCAATGTGTGAGAATTCCACTTTCTAACCTTCCTTACACCTGTTACTGTTCAATTTTTTGATGATAGTCTCCCAGTGGGTATGTAGTAATATTTGTTTTGATTGTGTCTGCATTTTTCCAGAAACTAATGATATTGAGCATTTTATCATGTTCTTACTAGTCATTTATATTTCTTTGATGTCTGTGTAACTCTTTGCCCATTTTTTAGTTCGTTTATTTGTCTTACAATTGAGTTGTAAGAATTTCTTTTATATTCTCAGTACAAGCTTATCAGATATATCATTTGAAAATATCTTCTTATAGTCTGTAATTTGTTTTTTCATGTTATTAATGATGTCTTTTGAAGAGGAAAAGTTTATAATTTTGAAATGTATTTTACTAATTTTTTTCTTATACAAATAGTTATGAAGATTTTTTCCTATTCTGAGATTTCTTGTGTAGTTTTAGTGCTCACATGTAGGTCCGTGATCCGTTTTGTGTTAATTTTTGTATATGGTATGAAATATGTGTCCAAGGCTATTTTTTTGCATATGGATATTTTATTGCTTCTCCATCATTGTTGCAAAGACTGCCCTGTCTTATGGCACACCTGTCAGAGACTGACTGACCAGGCTATAAGGGCTTACTTCTGAAGCATGTGTTCTGACCCGTTGGTCTCTGTCTGTCCTCACACCGTTCCCAACCACGGTGTCCTGATTGATGTAGCTTTGTAGTATGTTTGAAACTTGAAGTCTTCCTACTTTGTTTTTCTTTTTATGATTCTGTTGTACATGTAGGGTTCCTTTGGCTTCCATTTGAATTTTGGGGTCAGCTTGTCAGTGTCTGAAAGCTTACTAAGAGTTTGATAGGGATTGCACTGCATTTTTAGATCAGCATGGGAGAGAAAAATACTGAGTCAAAAAATATTAAGTTCTGATCCATGTACATGGAATGAAATGTCTGTTGATGCATTTAGGTCTTTAATTTCTCTTTGAGTGTTTTGTACTCTTTGGTATGAGTCTTGTTTCTTAAATATATTCCTGAATGTTTGTTCTTTTTAGTGCTGTTGTAAGTGAAATTATTTTAAATTTTTGGAGGGGTAGGGTTATTTGTTGCTGGTATAGAGAGATATAGTTGATTTTCTTATATTGATCTTGTATTCTGTCACCTTGCTAAAGTGCTTTATTCTAGTAGGTTTCTTTTTTTTGAAATATTCTTTAGGATTTTAATCCCATTATTATACTTTTCTTTGGTAATAGGATTTGCTGACCTCTTCCCTTTGCAGAAATCCCATCCCTTCATTTATTTTAAAGAATATATTAATCTTTGCTGTTAATAACTCTTCTATTTGTAACTGCTTGTAGGTTGCTTTTTAAAGTCTGTGTGAATGACATTCCTAAGAAATCAGTTAGATCTGTAACTGCTTTGTTATTATTATATAAATAAGATTATTTGGTTATTTTTCTTTCCAGGTTCCTCCCAGCAAAGTAGACTATGAATATAGTGAACTCATCCTGTACCAGAATCAAGTAATGCGGGAGGCAGATCTGTTTCAGGAATCCTTGGAACATATAGAAACATATGAGAAACAAATATGTGATAAACTTTTGGTGGAAGAAATTAAAGGTTAGTTGAATTGCTTTTTCTTTTTTTAAAAAATGGTCTCGATTAAAGATGAGAATAAGAGCTATTTGGGTTCCCTGGTGGTTCCCACAGTAAAGAATCTGCTGCCGTGCAGGAGATGCGGGTTTGATCCCTGGGGTCAGGAAGAGTCTTCTGAAGGAGGAGGCAACAACCCACTCAAGTATTCTTACCTGGGAAATCCCGTGGACAGAGGAGCCTGGTAGCTGCAAAGGGACAGGACTGACTGACTAAGACTTTCACTTCCATGTCCTGACACTTAATTGAGACTGTATATCAGGAGTGTTCTAAATAGTTTTATTATTAAACCATTAATAATTAATGTAATCCTCATAACAACCCTATGATGTACTTGTTATATCCATTTAACTGAGGAACAGAGAGGTTAAGCGACTTGCCCAGAGTCACACAGCTAGTTAAGTTGAGTAGTGCAGGGTTTGAGTGCAGGGATTTGGACTCCAGATTCCATTTTCTAAATCAGTGTGTTATACTACGTTCACATGCATCCCCTCTCCCAATACTTATCTCCATATATAGTAAAATGAGATGAGTAAATGATGACACTGGGATCATCATGAAAGCAAGATTCATTTATTTTCATTATGGGCTAATTCAGACAGAATCCTGAGAAATAGTTTTTTAAAAGTGGTATTTAACAAAGTCAAACATTTTCTTTTTTATATTTAACTTTGTTCATCAGTTACCCATTTCCTGAGGAATATTGTATTGTATAGACTGTCATTTGAATTAAAGATTAGTTTAAAACTAAAATCCCATATAGTTGCAGAACTTCTAAAGCTTAATAAAAATACTTGCCAAGATTTATTTAGTCTTTCACAGTAGTAATTGCTTAACTGGCTTAATTTCATGGAATATTTTATCACTTCTAACATGGATATTATTTATTATCCCTTTTTATATTTGAAGAAACTAGGAGAGGTTAAGGACTTGCCTGAAGTTGCCTAGCCTTTTAGGAGTTAATTTCTAAGCATATTTTTCTGATTTCAGAGCCTTTACTTATTTTTGTTGTTTTGTTTTAATTTAAATAGACTTTATTTTTTAGAGCAGTTCTAGGTTCGCAGCAAAACTGAGTGGAAGGCACAGATCTCCCATACACCCTCTGTCCTCATATGTGCACAGACTCCTCCCTGCCCCAGGTCTGTAGTCTACATTTGGGTTCACACTTGGTGTTGTACACCTAGGATTTTAAAAATGTGTAATGACATGTATCTACCATTGTAGTATCATACAGAGTGGTTTCACTGCTGTAAAAATCCGGTGCTCTCCCTGTTTGTTTCTCCCTGCCTCCAACCCTTGGCAAGCCGAGATCACTGTACTGTCTCCTTACTTGTACCTTTTACAATATGTATCAGAGATGGAATCATACAGTACATAGCCTTTTTATGTTGGCTTTTTTCACTTAGCAGTGTCCTTTTAAGGTTCCTTCGTGTCATTTTTTGAGTCCTTTTAACTGCTGTCCTTTACTCCTGTGGAGGACTGGGGCACAGTCATTGTTTGTTTTTTTCCCTCTCCTTTTATATAAATTGAAGTATAGTTGACATACTATTTATAGTTTTAAGTAGTAGATGCTTATTTGTATTCACTTTGTAACAAGTACTGTGCTGACCATTTTAAGTACATTATTTCAGTTAATAATCATAAAAATAGACTGATACAGTTGATATTTTGCAAGCAAGGAAATGAAAATTGAAAGTTTTATAAGTTACTTGGGGTTCCAAAACTAGAAAGGGGTAAAACTGGCAATTATACCTGTTAGTCTTTTTTTTAATTAGAGGGTAATTACTTTACAATATGGTGATGGCTTCTGTCATACATAAACATAAATTGGTGACAGTTGTACATACGTGCCCTCCCCCCTTGAACTGCTCTCCCACTGCTGTTAATCTTACTCTAGAGATTGAGCAATATATAATATACATAAATAGTAAAATAATGCATATAATAACTAATATGATGATGATAAAAGCCAAAATAGTATGTATGACTGAAGGCATTTCAAAGGGTTGTTTGAAACAAATTCTTCAGGAAGTGGGAAAGCTTAGTGATAGAAAGTTGAGGTATATTCTTTTTCAAGATTCTCCCCATTATCTTGATTAGATTTGGTTTTATCTGAGAAGTTTAGATTCTCTTTCCCATACCCACTTTCAATTTATATGGCTTAGGTAAAGGAACTGAGTGTTAGAGATGACTCACATGTGAACTTGGTTTGTGTAGCTTTTTCTCTGAAATGATATTTAGTGTTATTGTTTTGTGAGTTAAACTTCTCTGATTTTGGTAACCTGGAAAGGACACTAAGAGAATTATATAGAGAATTGTTTAACACAAAAATTGATTAGGTAAAATGAATTGAAAATCTTGCAGTAGGAAGGGAGAGATACTTTGTTGGAATTATTTACCAATCTGTAAATAGAGTGTCTTTAGTTATCTTAAAGGGTGTATAAAAATGTACAAAATTGCAAAAATTTTTACTAACAAGTTAATGTCATATATTTATATTTGGGGTGTGGGAGGGAGCCCAAAATGAATGTTAATAGAATATGTAAATGAAGGTTCATTTCTGAAGGCAAACTCTGAATTAATCTTTAGTTATTTAAACTACAACGACTACAAACCCTGAAGGGAAGCACATAAAATTCTGTCTTTCATAAATATCTGCTATACTAATAATGGTTAGTGAAAATCTCTGGGCTCAGAGAGGTATTTAATGTTTAAGTAAAATGAATGTGACATTTAAACTTAATTTTAGGGGAAATGCTGTTGAAATTGGGGCGATTAAAAGAAGCAAGTGAAGTATTCAAAAACTTGATTGATCGGAATGCAGAAAATTGGTGTTATTATGAAGGCTTGGAAAAAGCTCTGCAACTTAGTATGTAATGATTTTTCTCCTACCTTCTCTTAATTAGTATTTGAAGTATAGTAAAAAGTAGTAAAATATAAAGTTATAGTCATATTTGAGGATGTATATTTTTAATATTAGCATTTATTTTTCCATTTAGGAAAGTTGCAGGTTAAACATGGGAGTGAAAATGAATTCAGATATTTATATTTTTATATTTATATTTAAGTGATGAACACTTAACAGATAATTTTAGTTTTCTTCATCCCAGTCGTCAGTTAGTTACCAATTTAGACTGACTAGACTGATGGGGTAGAAAATGGGCATTCCCTTTCTGGGAAATGTCATAATTATTTAATATTTCTAAACAATTACACAGGACTGTTACTCTCAACCTCTAAGCATAAGAATTGGGCCAAAGCAGTGTTGTTGAGAGTATGTTGTACACAGCATCAGCATAAAAACTATCTTTTTACTTTCAAACTAGGCTAATTTGTACAGAATATGAATACATATTTTGAAATTTGATAACCTTGACTCCTTTCAGAATCTAGAATATTATTCCAAACTTTCCTTAATATTTTCATAATTAAATATTTTTAGGAGTAGTTAGTATTGCCAAAATTATATTTACTCATGGGTAAATAAGTATATGGCTAAAATAATTATGAAACTAGTATGAAATAAGTCTGAAACTCAAAGACAATGAAATAGAAAAATTTTTTAATTTAAAAAACATGGTAAATAGGTAACTACCCATATTTACAGTAGGAAGAAATTTGAGAAAAAATTTATTTTTTGTTATCCTAATTACTTGTATACTTAAATTCAAGTTTTGTGTTTGTACTTAACACAATTATTAAAAAAATTTTTCCTTACATAATTGTTTTTGTGAAAATAATGAAAATTAAAATATTGATTAAATTAGTAATCTCTTGTTTAAAAAAAGGACAAAGTCATGTGTCCGAAGGTTGGAAATGTGAGATAACTGATTTTTGTTTACCAGTTACTGACATACATTAATAACTGTTTTAGTAAAATGAATGGACTGTGTTCCATCTGTCAGGATCCATGCTCACTATAAAATACATTGATTATGAAACTAATTCCATTATTGTTCTCGGTTCCTTAGGACCTTTTCTCCCCCATGGTAAGTTCTGGAGCTCCAACACATGACTTCACAAAGGACATTGAAGTGGGTTGGTCTTAATTTAACTACGTTTATAAGACTTGGTTTATCTGAGGTAGTGGGAAATTTGTTTTTCTACTCATAGCTTGTTTCGTTCCCCAAGATTAGGCATAAATACGAGAACTGCTTTTTAAAATTTTGCAATAACCTTCTTGTAAATTTTAGTATAAGGCTCCTTAAATATTTCATGAAGTTCCCAGATCATTAGCAGAATGTGAGAATAATTTTTCACATATCCCACTTTTAAAAACTCAACCACTTTGGAGCTCCAAAATGTATTATTGGTGGAAGGAAGGAGTCTAAATAAAACCAGACTTGACTTTCAAAGTTCTATGTTTATAATCTCGATACTGAATACTACATTTACTGTGGAGATACCTTGACTGCTAGCACTAAGGGTTATTCTTACAATAATTACGTATGTGTGGTTTGAATTAAAATCCACCTAGAACCTTATAGTTTAAAAATGAGTTTGCTTTTTCTTGAAATTTGCTGTAAATATCTTATTGCTCATATTAAATAGTCTCTGTAGATTATACAGGATACTATTTTAGAGTAGTAAACTAGACCTAGAACTTATTCTTTAGATTGTTACTTTACTTATAGATCTTGTATTTAGTACTATAAAATTAGGTTGGTCCTGAGAGGGAAGATAAAACTTTCTGTTAGAGGTACATTTTATATCATAATATTTGGGTGAAGTAATTGCCACTTTAAAAAGTCTGTACTAATGGGGTTCTTTTTTTGGGGCACCTGTATGGGGACATGAACTAATGAGGTTCTTTATTATACAGTTTCATTGAAGATTTTGACTGTCAAAGTGACCTTAGAAACTTAATTCTTATCTTTTAAAATATTGCAGTCATGACCCTAAAACTGTTGCTTCTTAAGCTTATCTCTCAGTGCTACTGACTTTTGTTGGATTTATATGGGTTATATTAGGTTAGAGGCGGAGAAGGCAATGGCAACCCACTCCAGTACTCTTGCCTGGAAAATCCCATAGACAGAGGAGCCTGGTAGGCTACAATCCATAGGGTCGTGAAGAGTGGGACACAACTGAGTGACCTCACTTTCACTTTTCACTTCCATGCATCGGAGAAGGACATGGCAACCCACTCCAGTGTTCTTGCCTGGAGAATCCCAGGGACGGCGGAGCCCGGTGGGCTGCCGTCTATGGGGTCACGCAGAGTTGGGCAGGACTGAATCGACTTAGCAGCAGCGGCCGGTTAGAGGATTTATGTCAGATATGTTCTAAAGGAACATTTTCTTTTCCATGGATTGTGCACACAGGAATGTAAGAGGAGTATGTTGCTTCTGTGAGTCTTGCGTGTATATTATTTGAGTTGGATGTAGAATCTGTTGTGAAGTTTTGGATTTCTCTGACTTTGAATTTAAAATGGTCATTGACTGATGATATTATTTCACTACCACAGAGTTTTTAATGTGATTCCTACAAAAATTGAGAGCAGTTTTAATATTGATCATGAGATTTTTAATTTTTAACATACTTTTTAGAGTTTATTAGTTTTTATCATAGATTAAAGTTTTAAAGTTTATAAAGTTTTTATCATAGATAAAAGTTTTGATGCTTTGATCTCACACATATTTACTGATAATAGGCACTTTAGAAGAGAGACTTCAGATTTATGAAGACATTAGTAAGCAGCACCCCAGAGCAATTTCACCTAGAAGATTACCTTTGAATCTTGTCCCAGGTAATATTAGGATATCATTTGTAACACTAATAATTACTTGTTGAAATTACTCAACACCAGTCACATTTTAAAATCTTGTTTCTGGAAGAGAGTACACCAGTCTTAGGGGTGGGAGTCATTAGTTATTAATTTGTTATACATATGTTGTTAAGAGTATTTATGTTGGTTTAGCTTTATATTGATTTTAAGTGTCAGAAGTTATCTATATAAAATGGCTTTTCTTATGTGACTTTAAAAAGTAAACACCATATTTAGGAGGTAAATTAAATTCCATAGAATTGACGAAAAATTATATGTGAGGTATTGTGATTTAAGTGGTAAAAGTTTTGAAGTTCTAGATTTTCTTTTTTAGGACATGAATTCAGAGAAAGAGTTGTGAATTGTTTGTTCCTGCCACAGTGTTTAAGAATGTTATCTATCAATCCTGTGCAAGGCCCTCTCCTCAGAGTTGACCACATTCCTAAATTTTGCTTTTTATCGTTTTTGTAGAGCTCTGTATTTTGTATCCCTAGAAACAAAAACAAAAACCCCTATTTTGTACTTTATGTAATTTGGAGCACTGTGGTATATACTCTTACGGTTTGTTTTTATTGAACAATAGTGTATTCATGACCTTAATCTAAATTTTAGTGTATAGCTGAATTCATTTGCTATTGAACTTAAGAGAGGTAAAGAGTATATTAGCTCTTGAGATAGTTAATGACTTCATTGATGATTTTATGTGCCTTTTTCTTTTTTTGCTCCAGCTTCCTTTTAAAATTATTGCTAACACAGCATAAATCAAAATTGCATTATTTACAGTTTAACACAGTACAACATACAGATCTCATTCAACACATCTGTATTCCAGAAAAAAATTTTTTGAAATATTTCCCTCTAGAAGTTGTTTTAGATTATTTCCATCATTTTTTTTTACCCTTTTTTTCCCCCAATTTTTAAAAAATTTTAATTGGAGGCTAATTACTTTACATTGTTGTGGTTCTGCCATAGATTGACATGAGTCAACCACGGGAACACATGTGCCCCCCATCTTGAACCCCCCGCCCACTTCCCTTCCCAGCCCATCCCTCTGGGTTGTCGCAGAGCAGCAGCTTGGAGTGCCCTGCTTTATGCATTGAACTTGCCCTGGTCGTCTGTTTTACATATGGTAATATACATGTTTCAATGCTGTTCTCACAAATCATCCCACCCTTGCCTTTTCCCACGTTGTCCGAAAGTCTGTTCTTTACATCTGTGTCTCTTTTGCTCTCTTGCATATGTTTTTAAAAAACCAAAACTAACCATCACAAATTTAATGTTCTTTGGTAATGCAGGTTGTATACATCTGATTTGTCTACACAATTCTTCAAAGGTGCCAATAAATAGAAAGCCATCTGATTCTCCTGGCCTGCTTTACAAACACGTAAATCTCAGTTTTAAGTACAAGGAGAGGGTTTGTTTCTTAACTCCGTGTATAGAGCTGAGTACATGTCATAGGACAGATGCTTACATGACTGGCTGACTAGTACCTGGTTACCAGTTTTAGTAGGAATACCAACACTATGCAGGACATGAGGACCTGAGAGTTTTAGAAGGCATCATGTGCCTTTTTCTGAAAGTCATCTTTTATTTTTAGTTGCAGGTGCTTTAGATAATGAGTTATTTATTGAAACTTCTGGCATGTCTTTTGATACAAGTCAGACCTTAGAAAGCTGTTGTGACTTAAAAATCTCTATCCTAGGCATGGGTGAGGAGGGAAAGTATTTTCTTTGTTTTGTATGATTTTTTTTTTCTTGTTAAAAAATTTTATTTTTAACTGGAGGATACTTGTTTTACATTAGGGAATGTATTTTCTTATGCATTTTCTCATTTACATTGGAAATGTTTGTTTAAATAATTGTGTTGTTTTCCTTTTATCAAAAGGTTAATGGAAATTAAGAGCTTTTTAGTAGAGTGACTTTAAAAATATATGAAATACCTCTTAGAAATGTATTGGATTAGACAGTAGATACAAGTTTATTTAAAAATAAATAAATAGTGCCTCTCAGTCACATAAATGATGAATAGTATTTCTCTGAATCTCTGTTTTGTTTTGACTTTGTGAACTAGGCAAATTTCCTAATGTTTTCAAGTAAACATTTAAGTCCAAGTGGATGTTAATAGGCTTGGTGGGGAGGGTGCTGATGTACTGAGATATTTTCAGTCAGGTGAATTTGGGAAACTTGGTTAACGGTAGCAGTCAGGTTTGTGCAGGATTTCCTAGAACTTTCAGTAGATACATTGTGAGTTTCCAAGGTGGAGTGTACTGAGCTCAGAGGAGCATTTCCCTAGTAAGAGTTTGCTGAAAGATGCTTGGACTCACATTTCTGTATCTTCTTTAAAAACAAAACAAAAACAGCAAAGCAGCTTGTTGAAATGTAGCTCAAATACCATAAAATTCACTTTTTAAAGTATGTAGCTCAGTGTTTTAGTATGCCCAAGGACTTGCACACCCATCATTCCTCTCTGGTTTCAGGGAATTGTCATCACTCCAAAAAGAAAACTCATACCCATTAGCAGTCACTCCCAGCTCTCACCCCCTGCACCAGGCAGCCACCAGTCTAACTTTCTGTACCTGTGGATTTGCCTGTTTTGGACATTTTGTATAATTGTAATCATACCATAGGTGGCCTTTTGTGTATAAGGTAGGAAGTATATTTTTATTGAAAGATAGCTTGGAGCCAGCTGTTGACTGTAAAGTGTGGTCTAGGTTAAAGTGGAATGATTCTGGACCCTCTAGGACTTTCTTTGTTTGAATTGCTAAAGGGGTCTTTTTACAAACAAGGCCTCAGTTGAGGGGTCTTGAGGGCTTGGGCTTCAGGGTCAGCAACCATCATGTGAGGTTCTAGCATAAACATGTGTTTACAGAGCTCTGGGGACCATATATAAAATTGTGCAGCTACTTAATTGAACCTGTGCCACAGCTGAATACTTCATGAAGTTTTTTGCCTGCTCAGAAATATTTTTATGTGTCATAAGAAAGGTATCTCAAATGTGATGGGACTTGAAGATGCAAGTTTTGAAAAAGGCTTTCTAGTTTTTAAGTAAAAAGATTTATTACCAACAGATTAGTGAACACAACCAAAGTCCTGTCTGTGGAGATTCTCCAACAGCCTGAAAGTGCTATGAAAACGGAGCTTTTCAAAATACCTCGTTTAATTCATCGTGATATATTAGTCTTCACTGGACAAAGAAGGGAGAAAGAGGGAAGGAGATAATCCAGAGTGTTAAACAGAGAATGCTAATCACATTTTGCTCCTATTTTATTTTTGTTTGATTGGATTATTTTTGTTTTTTATTGAGATATAATTGACATATCATATGTTTAAGGTGTACGATGTATTGATATACATTTGTGTATTCCAATATTACCACTGTAGTGTTAGCTGATACCTCTGTTAGGTCACATGATTATCATTTCTGTTTTGTAGTGAGAACATGCACCATTATTTAGAATTAATTCCCTGGTTATCAGATACTGTCTGATCTTGCTTTTGTTCACTATTTTAGTGGTGGTTTTGGGGAATATCAATTTTTATGTGAATCTGCTACATCTAGTGAAGAATTAGCATAGCGTCTCTGAAGATAGAAAACTTGTTTTACAAGCTGCAGTTCTAAATAGGCACATATGATTGGCAGGTTTTTTTTTATTCCTCCTCTAAAGAAAAGCCTATGGGAGTCCTAGTAATTAGGAAGAAGGGAAGTTACTTTTGTGAAAGTTTTTCTTAATATACAAAAAAAATTGATGAGATGGGTAAATAGTAATTTGGGGATATAGTATGTGACTGAGCAGTTGAGTAGCTGTATAGGCTTCTGGTTTAGACACTGCATTCATATAGTTCCAAATAAAAGGGTACAAAATGGGTTTTAACTGAAAGGTCTTTTCATGTCTCTGTCCTCTGGCCACCAAGTTTACTTCCCCAGAGATAGCCATTGTTTACTAGTATGGTATACTCTTCCAGAAATGTGCATATCCAAGCAAAAGTATGTGTGTGAGGGTTTATGTGTAATTTTCCCTTTTCCTCTCCCTTTTGTACAAAAGTAGCATAGATTGTTCTGTACGGGGTTTTCTTTTCACTTAACTCTGTCTGGAGTTCAGTCCTGTATCAGTATAGAAGACCTTTTGCACAGTTGAAATAACAATTTAATGGGAGAAGAGGCTTTCAGTGTAGTGGGTACTTGAGAACAGAGTGCATTGTTTTTTAAATGAGATCTTGCTAGTATGATCTGAGTAGGTTGAGATTTGAAGAGTTTTTAGAGTAGCCTCTGACATGAAGATAAAATGCCTATTGTCTCAGTCGATGGTAGCGCATGTGGAAAACACTTCTGACTTTAGAAATACAACAGCTGTTAAATGTCAATGTGTATGATAGACAGCATTTATTGAGTGGTTATTGTGTGCTTGCACGATACTTTTCATCTCATGTGAGCCTTGAAAAAGTACTCTTGAGGCTGGTGGTGTTACCTCATCTTTGAGTGGATAATGTCACACAGGAAATAAGCAACAGGGTCTCTGACCGCCTAGCACAATATTGTTAACCTTTGTTTTATATCAGAGCAAGTGCTAGAAAGATTTGATTTCTAAAACTAGTTTTGATTTTTGAGGAAGTAATCATGTATATCCAACCCAGAGTGATATTTTGTGTGGTCTTGGCATATTTTGTATATAATCTTTTGAAAATCCCAGGTTATCAGTTCAGGTCAGTTGCTCAGTTGTGTCTGACTCTTTGCAACCTCATGGACTGCAGCACACCAGGCTTCCCTGTCCATCACCAACTCCCGGAGCTTACTCAAACTCATGTCCATTAAGTCGGTGATGCCATCCAACCATCTCATCCTCTCTTGTTCCTTTCTCCTCCCACCTTCAGTCTCTCCCAACAACAGGGTCTTTTCCAAGGAGTCAGTTCTTCACATCAGGTGGCCAAAGTATTAGAGTTTCAGCATCAGTCCTTCCAATGAATATTCAGGACTAATTTCCTTTTGGATGGACTGGTTTGATCTCCTTGCAGTCCAAGGGACTCTCAAGAGTTTTCTCCAACACTGCAGTTCAAAAGCATCAATTTTCCTGCTCTCAGCTTTCTTTTTAGTCCAACTCTCACATCCACACATGACTACTGGAAAAACCATAGTTTCGACTAGATGGACCTTTGTTGGCAAAGTAATGTCTCTGCTTTTTAATATGCTGTCTAGTTTGGTCATAGCTTTTCTTCCAAGGAACAAGTGTCATGGCTGCAGTCACCATCCGTAGTGATTTTAGAGCCCCCCAAAAATAAAGGCTGTCACTGTTTCCATTGTTTTCCCATCTATTTGCCATGAAGTGATGGGACTGGATGCCATGATCGTTGTTTTCTGAATGTTGAGTTTTAAGCCAACTTTTTCACTCTCCTCTTTTACTTCCATCAAGAGGCTCTTCAGTTCTTTGCTTTCTGCCATAAGGGTGGTGTCATCTGCATATCTAAGGTTATTGATATCGCCCAGCAATCTTGATTCCAACTTGTGCTTCATCCAGCCCAGCATTTCAAGGTTATCAAGACTACACAGGGTTATCAGGATTACACAAAATTTTACTCTGGGTTAAATACATATCATTACTTCCCTAAAAATCAAAAATACTTTCCGAGATTAAGTCTTTCCAGCACTTCCTGTTTTACAAAGATTAGAGATCATCTGACAACAGCCTTTATAGTAAGTTGAAGTAACAAATGTTGAACCTGTTTTTATGTTAGGTAAATTTTTAATCCAATAAAATTTGAATTTCTCCTAATTTTTATGACATCTGCAATATGTTGAGTATGCATGTTTTGTTCAATGATGTCAGTCACAACAGATAAAAACCACTTGGGTTGTTGTGTATTTTGGTAAAATGTCATGATTTCATAAAGAAACATTAGGAGAGTTCATTTCAGTAGTCTTACATTAGCTTAAGCCATTCATGACCTATATATATACATTTTTTCTCTCTTGCATGGCCAGATCCATGCTCTTACATTGTTAACCCTTACTGTCAAAAAGTTAGAGCCTTCATATTTAAAATTAATTTTGTTTTTCAGTTTTTTCTGCTTTTAAAAAGTGATACTGAAAATTTTTGGTAAGGGTTTAGCAACAATAGGAGGTGTATTTACTTAATGTTACAAATGAGGTATTTATTTAATTCTAATGTTAGCATGCCCCAGGACACTGATGTCTTATGTTTGTTATTTTGCTTATTGTCCATCTCACCCACTAGAATGTTAATAAGTTCTATGAGGGCAGAATTAAAAAATTTTTTTTGTTTTAATCACGGCTATATCGTGGACACTTGAAACAGTGCCTGGCACATAGTAGGTACTTGATAGATGATTGTGGGATAAATGATGGAGTAAATCACTAGTTGTTCTGGAAGACATTTGTAAATATGTTAGTGTTTAAGAAGGCATCTTGACTGCTACTTAAATATGGTGCTGGTTACAGTAGAAGCCTTTTCTAAAGTTTGCAGCGTGCCTTCAGAGATGTCAGATAGCAGGGTTGACCCTATGCTGGTCAATGACATTAGGAAAGGTAGACTGGAGAGTAGGTTACTCTTCCTCAAAGCTGCCTAGTCACTTTGCTTGCCGGTCTTTTGAAATGTTCCTTGAAGATATTTTGAACCTGTATCTAGGGAAAATAAACATGCCTACTGAAATACTGGTGTTCCACTCTTGGGCGGTAACAAACAAGCAATGCTAACTTTTTGGGTTTAAACTTTGGACTGGGGAGTCATTGTTTCTGAAGAAGTTTTATTTTTATTTATAAAATAACTTTGAGAACTGTTTGTATAAATCAAAGTTTAACAAAGTACACTTTTATTCCTAGGTGAAAAATTTAGAGAACTATTGGATAAGTTCCTGAGGGTTAACTTCAGTAAAGGCTGCCCACCCTTGTTTACTACTTTGAAATCTCTGTATTACAATACAGAAAAGGTAAAATTTGGTCTTTATTCAGTTTTGCTGTAGTCTTTTACTCACTTTATTACTATAGAAAGACATTTTCTCTATTCAAGTAATGGTGTGCACCTTAGTTTAATAATAGATGAACTGAAATTATATGCATGTACTATAAGTAGTTTCAAAGGAAATGTCAGTCTGAAATTTACTGAGTAAGGGGCTTATAAGAACACTAAAAGGTTGTTGTTTTTAATGGGCATACTTTTCTAGTGGAATTTTATTAATAAACTTTACACATTGTCACCAGAGGTCTATATTTAACTATTTCACGATTAGTTATCTATTACTTTATAGTGTGATTGTGGATTTTTAAATTCGTTATGTTTGCTTCTAAAGTTAGAGCATGGCTAATTGTTAGTGCAACAATAAAATGTAGGCACTATTTTAACTAACAGGCTACATTTTAATAAAGATAGATTTAGCTGGTTTTCCCATGAAGAGTCATCCTTCTGCTTTTTAAAATTAGGAAATAGATTTGGTTTTATATTAGAAAGAAAATTAGAAGTTAATAGAAAATAAGTTATACTTCTATTTCCAAATGTTGCTTCTTATTAAGATGTAAAATCTTGTGTAAACAGTTTTTGAAAGTTGAATGGATAAGGAAGAGACTTTATTAGAAGTGCTAAAGTAGTTTTAGTTAAACCTTGTCACTTTACTTAGCTTTGACCCATAATTATTTGTAAGTTAGCATAATTATGAATAATAAGTTATTCAAAAAGGTCAGTGGTAGGTATACTGATGGGCCCTTTCTTCCTTTGGCAGCAGGTTCATAAACTAAAAGGGATGACTCATAACATCTAGAGGGGAATGGCTGAGGCTGGCTGGCAGAGCTCTGCACCTTCTTCCTGCCGTTTGTGCAACATCTCCTTGCCAGCTGGTCACATCCCCACTTCTAGAAAGATACCTATAGTACCTGATCAGTAAGAGTGTCATTTGCATTAAAAAAAAAACTCAAAAATCCTTGTAGTTCTTTAATGTCTGTAGTATACTTTATTTGATTGCTCTGGTACTGCTGTTGATTTTCTCTTGCTATCTTATTTTTTTGAGTGATTGATTCGTATGAAGACACGGGAGCCGTGGTTTCTGTAGGTTATTTAAATTGGCATTTGCCGAAGTGCTTCTTTTACTCATTTTGACAAGGTTGACAAGAAAGAAGAGATGAGATGTCGGCAATGTTAGTAATACAGAGCTTGTATGTAACTGTCTTAGAGCAAGTACTGAATATAGTGGTCCTTTCAGAATTTGTTCTCTTAAAGCTATCAGTGAGCTTTCCCTGGCTTTCTCAGTTTTCATAAGAGGCATAGACTTAAGAAATCCCTTCAGTATTGATCCAAAATTACCATCATAAAGGTGTTAAGCATTTGTTGATATTTTATAAATCTTATAAATTGCATTTTTAAAGAAGGTGTTGAGGATTCGTTGACCTGTATAGAAACCTGTGACATATCTTCAGTGTTAATTTTTAAGCACACAGCAGGAATGTTTACCATATGTTTTTGATGTTTAAATTACAATGCAGAAAATTGAGTTTAAGTTGTCCGAACTTAGTATATTTTAAAAAGTGTACAAGCATGGGAAATCCTTCTCAAATCATTTTGGCTTCATATATTTGTGATTACTCAAAAGGGCATTTTTAAATTTTGCTATTTCCAATCAGCAGTGAGTCATGATTTTTAGCAAGGGCTGCATTTTTTTTTTTTTGCATTTTTTTTTTAATAAACTTAAAAAAAATATTTACTTATTTTTGACTGTGCAGAGTCTTCCTTGCCGCATGGGCTTTTCTCTAGTTGTAGGGGGTCGGGGGCTGCTCCTCCATTGCAGTGCTGGGACTCTTCATTGCTGTGGCTTCTTTTGTTGCGGAGCACAGGCCCTGGGGTGCTCAGGCTTAAAAGTTGTGGCTCCCAGGCACAGGCTCAGTAGTCGTGGCTTAGTTGCTCCCAGGCATGTGGGATCTTCCCAGATCAGGGATCAAATCTGTGTCCCCTGCATTGGCAGGTGGGTTCTTTACCTCTGAGCCACCAGGGAAGCCCTAGGGATGCATTTTTAACTCTTGAAGGATTTCAAAGAGGTTAAGGATGATGAACAATTACAGTTTTTTAATTTGTAAGATTCCAAGACTAAAAAATAATCCACAACAGATACCATGGAAATAAAAGATTAGCATTTGAAGTTAGTTTAGGATATAATACAGTTGTAGAAAAGTGTTTTTTAAATGTCTCCAGCACTTTAAACTGTGAATGCACAATTTAAGAGCAATTTTCATATAATTCCTTTCCAAGTTTTTTTCCTGTGAATTTATTTGTGATGTATTTATATAGCTATAGTAATTTTGACCATAAAAACTTTGTTTTTTCCACCTAGCAATTCCACAGGCACTTCATGTGTTATTATGTAGTCTTTGATATCTTCTTTTTCATGACTGCATAGTCTTTTATCAAAATCATACTTCGTTATTGAACTTTGCTGTTTAAAAAAATGTCTTTGTACACATAGTTTTTACTTAGGATTTTTTTCTCCCATAAATTCTCAGAATAAGTTAATGGGTAAAAGGTATGAACATTCTGTTATTCTTGGTAAACACTGATACATTGATTTCTATAAGGCTGTAAACATCAGTTTGTGTTGTCAGTAGCAAAGGTGTGTGAAAGGTTCACTATTTCCTCACGAGCATTAGACAGTGTTAAATATTTTCTTGTGTTTGCTTTTTTCAGGAGATTTTTTTCTTTTAGATATAAAGAAACTAAAATGTAATGTAACCAGATTTGTTGATCTTTACTTCTATTGTAGAACTTCATTTGTTGTTTTAGAAACAGTTTGGAAAGTCCTCTTCCTCTAGAGCACTGCTTCACAAGGTGGGACAGGGGAGGGAATTAGGCCATTTGATTGTCACTGTGGTAGGGGTGTGCTACTTGATACCTCATATTGGTAGCGCCCTGGGATGATGCTAAACATTCCGAGGTTCAGAGGACAGCCCCACATAAGAAGGAATTGCATTATCAGCATATTGGGGGCTGATATTTGTTGTTAGGGGCCTGTCCTGTGTATTACAGGTTATTTAGCGGTGTCCTTGGCCTCTACCACTCAGATGTCAATAGCTTACCCCCCTCTTAATAGCTTTATTGAGATACAGTTCTCAGACCATAAAATTGACCTATTTGAAGCTTACAGATTCACCGATTTTTAGTATGTTCAGAGTTTTCTAACCATCACCATGATAATTTTAGAAACCTCCCATTCATATTTTCCCACTGCCAATCAGGCAACCACTAGTCTACCTTCTGTTCATGGATTTGCCTATTCTGAATATTTCATACAAACGGAATCAAACCATGGTTTTTTCTCTCTACTTTCTTAGTGTAAGTACTTTCATCATGTGGTTACATGAGTACTTCTTTTATGTCTAAATAATGTCCCATTGTATGGCTATAGCACATTTTATCCATCAGTTGATGGGCACTTTGGTTGGTTGTACCTTTTGGTTAGTACTCATATTGCTATGAACATTTATGTAAAGTTTTTTGCATGTACACGTTTTCATTTCTCTTCGAGGTATATACTCCAGGAGTGGAATTGCTAGGTCAAATGGTAACTCCATATTTAAACTTTTTAAACTATCAGACTCTATTCCAGTGTGCCACTACCATTTTACATTCCCATAGGCAGTGTATTAGAAGTCTGATTTCTACACATCCTCACCAACAATCCACTTGTTATTATATGATATTTGATTGTAACCTACATCCTGGTGGGTGTGAAGTGGTATCTCCTTGTGGTTTCGATTTGCATTTCCCTGATGACTGATGATTTTAAGCATTTTTTCAAGTGCTTGTTGGCCATTTGTATATCTTCCTTGGAGAAATATCAATTCAGGTTCTTTGCCCAGTTTTTAATTGGGTTATTTATCTTTTTATTATTAATTTTAAGTTTTTAAGTATATTCTAGGAACAAGTTTCTTATCTGACATACGGTATTTGAAATAAATAATAAATGTAAATAATTTGAAAATATTTTCTACTCTTCTGTGGATTGTCTTTTTACTTTCTTGAAAGTGTCTTTTGATAAAGCCCATTTTATCTTTTTTCCCTTGTGTTGCTTGTGCTTTTGTGTTGTATGTTAAGAAACCATGTCCAAATTTGGGGTGGTGAAGATCTATACATATTTACTCCTGAGTTGATACTTTTGGTTCTTATATTAAAGTCTGATTCATTCTGTGTTCATTTTTGTATATGATGTGAGGTGGGAGACCAGCTTCATTCTTTTGCATTGTCTGTCCAGTTTCCTGCCATAATTTACTTTTTTTTTGCCCCTTGAAAGGCTAGATAGCCTTGTTGAAAATAAATTGACCATGAATTTGAGGGTTCATTTCTGGACTCTCTGTATGTCTACCCTTAGGCTGTATCACACTGTCTTGTTTACTATAGCTTTTGGGTAGTTTAGTAAAGCAGAAAGTGTGAATATTCCTTGTTTGTTCTTTTTTTTAAAATGTTCTTTTGGCCATTAAGGATTTATTTTCATTTGAATTTTAGGATCAGTTTTTCGATTTCTACAAAGAGGCCAGCTGGGATTTTATAGGGACTGCTTTGAATCTGTAGATCACTTTGGGAATTTCCATCATGGGAATTCCCATTTCCATCTTAACACAAGTGTTTCAGTCTATGAACATTGGTAGTCTTTCCATTTATTTAGAGTGTCCTTAATTTCTTTCAACAATGTTTTGTAGTTATCGGTATACATCTTATACATCTTTCATTAAATTCATTCCTAAATATTTTATTTTTTTATGCTATTCTAGATAGAATTATTTTCTCTTTATAAGTTTCAGGTGCACATGCTGAAACTTATGTAGAGCCAATTATAATTTAACATCTATGTACATTGTAATTTGTAAGCCTGGTTACCATCCATCACCATACAGTTGAGTCCCTTCACCCATTTCACACTCACCCCCAGCTCCCTTTCTCTAACTAGTCTGCTAT